GTGGATCTCTGCCCCTGGGACACCCGTTTGGAGCCACTGGCTGCAGGTTGGTCACGGCAGCTGCCAACAGATTACGGAAGGAAGGAGGTCAGTATGGCTTAGTGGCTGCCTGTGCAGCTGGAGGGCAGGGCTCTGCTATGATAGTGGAAACTTATTCAGAATAATAGATCCAGAAGAAATGACCGGAAGTTTCTGTGCAGCACTCACACTAGGCAACGCTATTTCAGTGCATTCTGAAATGACATTTATAGTTCCTAGCTCCCTTTAGGAAAGCGATTCTTGTGGCCTTCTGTTAGACACTTTGCACTTAAGCCTTGCCAGTGTTCTGAGCTTTTCAATAATCACAGTTTACTGCTCTTTCAGGGATTTCTAAGCCACCAGAATCTCACACAGAGATGTGTAGGTGGTTGGTTTTGGTCTCTGCTGTCACTAAAGACAAAATGACGGGTTGCAATTGGGAAAGAGGTCAGCTGAGATTTGGAATCATTTTTGTAATATTTGCAAATTATATTTTTCCTATCTGTGTCCTAAAGATAAGTGTTCTCTATAAAATACAAACCAATGTGCCTAAATTAATTCTGGAAAAATAATTCAGAATCTAAACATCACTGAAAACTTACAGAAAATGTTTAGATACATAAATATCATGGTGGTCAACCTTAATAAAGTGGAGAAATATTGAAAAAAATAGGCCTGGCACGGTGGCTCATACCTGTAATCCCAGCACTTTGGGAGGCTGAGGTGGGTGTATCACGAGGTCAGGAGATGGAGACCATCCTGGCTAACACGGTGAAACCCCGTCTCTACTAAAAACACAAAAAAATTAGCCAGGCGTGGTGGTGAACGCCTGTAGTCCCAGCTACTCGGGAGGCTGAGGTGGGAGAGTGGCATGAACCCGGGAGGCAGAACTTGCAGTGAGCCGAGATCGCACCACTGCACTCCAGCCTAGGTGACAGAGTAGGTGACAGAGTGAGACTCTGTCTCTAAAAAAAAAAAAAAAAGAAAGAAAATAATAATAATAATAATCTACACAACAAACTGTCACGACACAGTTTACCTGTATAACAAACCTGCACATGTATCTCTGAACTTGAAACAAAAGTTAAAAGAAAAAGAAAAAATCCCATTAGGACATGAGCAAAAGGGCTGGGCGTGGTGGTTCATGCCTGTAATCCCAACAGTTTGGGAGGCCAAGACGGGAGGATCTCCTGAGGTCAGGAGTTCAAGACCAGCCTGACCAACATGGTGAAACCCCGTCTCTACTAAAAATACAAAAATTAGTTGGGTGTGGTGGCAGATGTCTGTAATCCCAGCTGGGGACAGAGTCACCTGCCTGCATGCAGGTCCTGGGGCCCCGACTCAGCCCTGAAAGAGAGTTCCCTGTAAGAGATTTGTCCCCCTGGGAGCCTGAGCAGGCCTTCCCATCGTGGGAGTACCTGGAACTACAGGTATGCACCACCACACCCAGTTATTTTTCGTCTTTTTAGTATGCATGGAGTTTCACCATGTTGCCCAGCTGGTCTCGAACTCCTGGGCTCCAGCGATCTGTCTACCTCGGCCTCCCAGAGTGCTGGGAAAATAGGCATGAGCCATGGCAGGCAGCCAATCATAGCACTTGTTATCATTAGGATGATTCCTCTTTCTTCTCATTTTTGGACACACACCTCCCAGCATCTCATCTGTCAGAGAGGGTTTCTACCAGGGCTGTACTGGGAGTTAGGCTTGAAAAGGGGAGGAAGGCACCACCTGCCCGGGTCTCGAGAGTCTGCTCAGGGCTGTAACCAGCAGGGGAGGGTCCAGTGTGAACCTCATGTCTGACAACTCTACAGTGAATCTGTTTCACACACACATGGAGGGGGCAGCTCAGGGCTGACCACGAACCTCAGTCAATGGGCAGAGATATCCCAGTGCTATCCACAAACACAAGGGAGGAAGAGCCACAACGTCCCACTTTCACCCAAAACCCCGACCCCTCCCTGACTGTAAGGGCCCTGGGGTTCTCCTCTGTCTCATACAGAGGTAGAAACATGCCCCTTAGTGACTCCCTGACATTGCAAGTCACCAGCAGCCACTCGGCTCTGAGCTCGCTGCTTCCTGAGGTTCCCTGCCGGTGTCAGGAAGTTTCATTTCTCATTTCCTTCTAGGGCTGCATATTTCAGAAACATTATGTATTAGTCGGGGTTCTTTAGAGGGGCAGAACTAATGGGATAGATGTATGTATAAAGGGGAGTTGATTAAGGAGTATTGATTCACACGATCA